AAAAAAAAAAAAAAGGGGGAGGATGGTTTAAGGAACTAATTCCTCCCCTACCCCCAAGTTCGCAAGTACTGTGTGCCAGAGGAAGGAGGAAATATCTCCTTGGCCGCAGCTGTGGGAAGCTGATCCCCTTCAGAGGGGGGCTCAGAGGGGGACGGAGGAGGAACAGGTTGTACATGTGGCAGCAGTCCGGGTCCCCCTCCCTCCCTCCCTGTCTCTGGCACCCACAAAGGCAGAAGCCTCTAACTCCAGGAGTGGGTAAGCCAAGACAAGACAGATTTAGTGGTGGTTTTCTTTGAAGAGGTTCACATCTGTCCTTCCTCCTTACTGTCAGGTCTGTGAAAACTGGACTATCAAAAGCCTCCAGCAGCTTCCTGTCCTGGCATTTGGAGTGACAGCCACATTCTCTCCTCGGGCCTCTGGGCCCTTCGGTGATCTGATGGTGTGAAAGGAAGGACCGAGATTTCTGAGCGAGGAGATGGAAAGTTGAGGTGGCCACAAGCTTCTCAGAGGGAGACCTGAGACCGCAGGAGGAGCAAGGTGGCTGGGGGGAGGGAGGAGAATTTCAGACTCAGGGTTTGTTTTTTTTTTTAAAAAAAAGATTTATTTATTTGTGCATACAGAACTGGCATACAGGCCAGAGGTGCGGGGGTGGTGAGAGGATTCACCAGAGACGGCAGGGAGCAGAACAGGCAGATCAATGAAGTACACTGCTGAGGGGAGCAGCGGCGGGTCAGGAGAGGTCTGTCGCGCCATGTGGGTCACCCCCAGTGCGGGGATCGAACTCATGCTGACGTGGCTTTTGCTTCTTAGTGCTGTGCTTTACCCTGCTGCGCCACCAGGGAGGCCCAGACTCAGGACATTTTGATTTCAGATACCTGAAACAGAACAGGGAAAATGTTGACTTTTAGTAATTCTGGGAGGAACCAAGTCAGACAGGGCTCTGTACTGGAAGGACAGGTAGGACTGGTAGGGGTCATGGACGCAGGGGCACAGGGGAAGCTGAGTGGGGAAGCAGTTCCTGGGGCCAGCTTTGTCCTTTATGTAAGAAGGCCACATGCCCTGCTTTCTGCCTATTTTGAGATTTGGAGTGATGTTCTTTTTGGAACTTGTTTCTATTTCTATGTATTTGTACTCTTAAATGAGTGTCTACCCATTCCTTACATTTTCGTCTTCCAGCCTGTAGACAAAGTTTCTTGCCATAAGTCGCTCAGTGCATTGACTTCCCCGATGCTTAGTCTTTTTTTTTTTTTAACAAAGAGGCCATTCTTCTTTGTCTGTGCCAATGACTCATAATTAAATCCACTAATAACTAGTGTCTTACAATTTCTTTCACAATAAATTGGAACTCTTCGTATCAAGTACATCTCATTTCAAATGAAGTTGATCATCAGATCAAGGTCTGAAACATGGCAAACTGATTCTGACTTTTGCTAGAAGAGCCTTTGCTCATTGTTCTTTTTAGACAATGACGTCAAGGGGGACAGTTAAGGGGGTTCACAAAACAAGGACTGGAGGATCTAAACCAGACTCCTACCTCCCTGCTGGCCCATGCACGTTAAGTCAGGGCCCACACAAAGCAAAGTCTTCACATGTTTTTTTTTTTTTTTTAAGATTTATTTATGCATTAGAGAACTAGGGTGCAGGCCAGAGGTGCTGGGGTGATGAGAGGATTCACCAGAGCACCAGAGATAGAGTGAGGAGCAGAACAAGCAGATCGACGAAGTACACTGCTGAGGGGAGCAGTTGGCGAGTCAGGAGAGGTCTGTTGCACTATGTGGTCACCTCTGGGGCAGGCGGGGATCAAACTCATGTGGAAGTGGCTTAAGCTTCATAGTGCAGTGCTTTAACCCACTGCACCACCAGGGAGGGGCCACATTGTTTTTTTTAACACCACAGGGTTTCCCCTCTTTACTTAGGTGTCTTAAAATGGTTAATTTTATGTCACTTGCTTGAAAGATTTATTAATGCATACAAGAACTGGGGTATAGGCCAGATGTGCAGGAGGATCCACCAGAGACAGAAGGGGGGGCAGAACAGGCAGATCTACTGGAATATACTGCTGTATATTCCTGCTGAGGGGAGCAGCAGGTAGACAGGTCTGCTGTGCCATGTGGCTCGCTCCCTGGCCACCGTTAGAACTTGGTTCTGCAGTGACTATGGATAGTTGTATAGTGCTGAAATTTAAGCCCTTGTGCCACCAGAGTGGCCCCTGATATTCCTTTTTTTTTTTTTAAGATTTATTCATGCATACAAGAACTAGAGAACTAGAGTACAGACCAGAGGTGTGTGTTGGCGGGGGGAGGATTCATCAGAGACAGAGTGGGGAGCACAACAGGCAGATCTATTGAAGTGCACTGCTGAGGGGAGCAGTGGGCGGGTCAGGAGAGGTCTGCTGTGCCATGTGGGTCAGCTCCCTGGTGGAGGATTGAACTTATGACCTGCTGCAGTGGCTGCAGACAGCTTCAGTGTTCTAACCTCTTGTACCACCAGGGAGGGCCATAGGCTTGTCTACACTCCTCTGCCTTTCTCAGGTGTGACCAGGTGACATTGATGGTGACATGACCATGTTCAGGTCTGGTCCACAAAAGCCACTCAATCTTGATTCTCTACTATCATACTTCAATTAAGAAACAATAAAAACCAAGAAAAGAAAAATCCTCATCATATTGCAGTTGGATTTTGGGAGCTTGGGCAACCTTGGAAGTCAGGTGAAAATGGCAGAGCTTCTGGGCTTTTCTTGAGGGAGTGCGGAGAGGGGGTCTCTATCTGCTGACTTGGACTGTTAGTGAAAGAGAAGGGGCCACGGGGTTGAGGTGCTGATATTTGGGGTGGTTACGTTACAGCAGTTGGCTTACTTTAACACAGAAATTGGTATTGAAATGATGGTTCATCATAGAAACCTAAAATAAGACAGTGTTGGTGGTTAAAGAGAGAGCTGGAAAAATTAAGGGGCCCACGTTATCCCAGCTATTGACGCCGTCTCTTGTGGCCACTGGGATGGTTGACTCCATCAGACGCATGGCCCGAAGCTGTTGGCTGAGGGAGGGCTGAAGAGTCAAGGTGCTGTGCTGCCCTTCTCATTACGATCACTGCATGACTTAAGCTTAGGAAAGAATTGACTGATAAGCAGAATGGAGAGGGATGGAACCAAGAGACTTGGGGCTGGGAAGGCCTGTCCATGTCCTTGTTCTAGACTTGAGACTGACTTAGGGTTAAGGCAGACTTTGAATGCTCAGACTCGGTAAGACTCAGCTCTGTAGCAGAAAACCACATTAAGGTCTTTCCATTCAAACCTGTTTCAGAGGAACTTAAGACACCAGTGTGGGCAGACTGGAAGTGAGAATGGAATAACCAGGCTTGCAGGTTGCTTATAGGAAAGTATTTGGGTGGTTACTGGCTGGCAGAATTGACTGCAGCAGACAGACTGGAAGCCGTTCCTGACAAAACTTGCTGCAGGATCTACACAGTTTTGAGCCAGACTCTTCCCCAACCCTCAGTGCCCCAGATGTATCCAACACGAAGGTAGGGAGTGGCACAAAGCCAAGTTCTGGAGGAGGGCAGACTGACACCTGCTTCAGAGGGGCCCCTGACAATGGAAAAGGAGGTAATTAGACTCTCAGAGGAGCTTCCCCAACCTCTTCACACCATCTGCAGGCAGATGTTCTAATGGTTGGGGCCAGTGACTTCTTGCTTTCTGAATGGGGCTTGCAATGCAGCAGCTCTGTCCCTGCGCCAACACTGTATGTGGTGGACAGGTATCATTCCCTAGTGCAGTCTGCCAGCCCATCAACAGTCACGAACAAGGTGAGGATAGCACATCTCAGCGGACCCGTACTCTGAGGTGAGCTGCGTGCAGTTGGGACGTGCGAGCATCCCCTCGGAGGAAAGGACAGGCATGGTCTATGTGCGAGGTTAATGGAAGGACCGGTAGCTAACCACCCAGACTCCCACTGGGTACACAGGGGATTACTCACAACCTCCTCCGGAGTTCGGGGAGATCGGTGCGGCCCCGTGACTGGCTCCAGCCAATCACTACTTCCAGGCCTGGTATGAAAACTTCATCAACCATCTTCATGCTCTTCCCTTGGTGTGTCACTGGATGCTCATGCTGTCATCTTGGCAATTACAAGTTGAGGGACAGAGTTGCAGGATCCTGAATGATGGCCTGCACGGAGCAGTGGCCTTTCCAGATCAGATTTAAAATTGTCCAATTTCTGGGAACTCCAACTTACAGGCGTACTCCTAGCTACCATCTAACGAGCGCTACATGCGAGGTACCGTCCTAACCACTTCACATGTGGTCTAGCCCTTACCACCCCTGGTAATACCACTTTAGACAGGGACACTGAGGCACAGAAAACTTAGGCAACTGAGCAGGTCACATAGCCAGTTAGCGGCCAGGCTGGAGCTGGAACCTCGCACGCCTGGGTCTAGGACTAGTCCGTCTCTGTGCCTTCCACTCTGCCCCGCAGCCCAGTCACAGCGTGTCCACCACCCACCTCAGCAGGTGGCTCCCCAGCAACATTATCTGGAGGCTGCTTCAGGACTTCAGATGCCCACTTCTGCGGGGGCTCAGGCACACAGTCACAGGCCACGGTGCTGGGATTAAGTGTAAGTTATTTGAAGGGGCAGGGAGATAGAAACAGGACAAAAGTAATCACATATTAAAAGAAAAAATAGATCCCACAGGAGTCTTAGGATAAAAACTTTATTGTCTTAAATATCAAATGTTTTACACATCACTTTTTCTTCAGAAAGTTCCTATTAAAAAAAAAAAGGAAATAAAGTGTTTTATTTAGGGCTGACTTACATTTCAGTATGGGACAAAAACTCAAGCCAGATATATCTAGGTCACTCAGCTGCAGACAGGTCCCATGTCCAGCCCTGTAATCAATGGCACAATGCAACTGACTTGGGGGTTCCTGAGTTTGGTTCCCTTAAGTTCTCGGAGTTTTCCCAACTCTCAAAGCCAAAGCATCTCGGGAGGGACTGAGCTGCTGGCGAGCATATTCTGCCAACCAGGTTAGTTCTTGGAAGATGCAGTAGTCTCAAAGTTTCAAGAAAATTCGGGAAAGTGACACAGGAGCAAGGATGAAGCAGAAGGGAAAGAGGGGACTCTACTTGGTAAAACCTGCCAAACAGATGGCTCCAAAATTGGTGAGCAAACCTTGATAGCAAAGGCCATTAGCCCAGCTTGCCACGAGGATGAGGTTCTGAGTAAGGAAGAGCAAGTCATTTTCATCGTTGGTGCACAGTCTGCCAACTTGCTCTATCACCAGAACCATTTGTAACGGATGATCAGGAGACTGGAGGATGGAAACAGCTGTTCACAGGGTAAGGTCTCAGGCTGCATAAACTCAGAAAGCCACAGGGCCTTCAGGAAAGAAAAAGCCAGTTAGGTCAGCATCGGGCAGTCTCAGACCAAAGGAATCTGGAACGAGCTGAGCTGACCACCTCTGGCAGGGAAATCGAGGTCTGCCTTCTTTTAAGCCCAACATGCATTCGAACAAGGTTGCGTGTAAAACCTAGCTGTGGCACACAAAATCAATTCCCATCAAATGTGTCTTTTCCCCGGAAAAATACCCCCCACCAAGCCTACTACTGAAAACTTTAAGGTGTCCATGTAAAGCAATAGAGTTCTGTAAAAGTTCTTCCTAATTTTGTCTTCCACACCCACCCCAGGTGTTCAACTTTTTTTTAGGTATCTAAGAGTAAAGTTTCCTTTGATTTAGCTTAATAAACATGCTCTAAGCCCTACAACCCTGGAGCCATTTTCTGTGCCAATTCATTCCAGAAGACTGTGCCCAAGACCTCTCAGGGTCCCATCACCCTCCACAGCCGAGGGCCTAGCTGACCCATCACCAATACAGAACCGACCAATCTTTCTGGAGTTTTCTAACCACAAACCTAAGTCACTAGTAGTTATGGTCCAGAAATTTTGCGTGTACGCCTTGGGGTTTAACATGACATTTACAATAGCGGGCTTATTCCCCTTTTCCCCATCTTGCACTCAGCTACTTTAAAACAGCAAACCCCGCAGAATCCTCTGCTGAACTCTGTTGGCTCGAGTGGCCAGTACCCCTGAGCTCCTGTGCTCCAACGGGAGCAAGAGGCGTGTCCTGACGGCAGCGCTGGGCCAGGTTTGGGAACCGTCCTGCATTTACTTGCGCTTTGGTCCGTTTCCAACCCCCACCCTTCCAGGCTGGTGTCAGCCGACCCCTGATCTGTATGAGTACGTCTACCAAACATCCGAACATTTTTATCGGTTTGTCTGATTCCATTAGTATTTCCTTTTAAAGCACTGTTTTAGGTTTACATATCTTACTCCCTTTTGAGCCTGATTTTCCCAATTGTCTCTGAATTTGAACTAAACATGCTCTAAGCCCTACATCCCTTGAGCCATTTCACGACTTTCATAATAAAAGTATGCTAACGGGCAAAACAGACCTTGAGAACTTACTGGTTTGCTTAGTTGCTTGGAATCTTCACAAGAGCAAGATTCCCCTGTCTTGGCTCCCCTGTACCTCCAGTGCCTGGCACACAGGCACTTGATATTTGGTAATGAATCAATGAATTCTTGTTCAAAGACTCATACTGCATAGCCTTAAAAAAAAAAAGGTGCACTGATATTCTGCTCAAATATATAAAGTTTATTTGAACTTCTCTGCCTTACCATACTGATAGAACAACAAAGTGTATCAGAAACATCTAGGAACCTTTCCTTTTGGTGCTGGATGACAAATTCCTTACCACCCTTCCACCTGGGGAAACAGACGACCTGGTGGTACAGGTTAATTTATAGGGCCATTTACAAACCTCCCCCCATACTTTCACTTTTATTCCCATCAAAATTTGATGCCTCTGCCATTTGGAGAAACTAAGGCACAAAAGAAAATCAAGCACATCAATGAGCTCCTAGTTGCACCGACTGGAGGACAGTGAAGGTATGCACCTTCAGCCATAAACACACGTTTCCGGTTCTCAAGGACATGCTTTGAATTTACTGTTAGAAAATAACATTTTTAATTGTTTCAGGGTAAACCCCCCCTCCTTTTTCAATCATATACAGAATGCCTAACATGAAAGGTACACTAGTCTCCCAGGGAGGGAAACTCCTGACATCGAACTCTATTTCTGATTCAGCAGCCACAGCTTTAAGACTACATCGTCAAAACCACCGGAGAAACCTGGCTTCTGCTATCTGTGCAAGGGGACAACAGGTAGGAAAAGGGAACAAGGACGTGCTGTAGTCTCCTGGCCAGCTGAGCTGCAGAGCTGCTGGTGACAAGACATGGGGAGAGAAGCCACCCTAAGGATAGATAGAAGGAAAACGGTTTGCTTATTATGTAAATGAGCGCTAGTGTATTTGTCAACCACACCTGTATATATACATATAAGCTAAAAAGGTAGCCCCCTGCGTTTTACTAGCCAGAGAGATGTGGTGTGGTGAGAACAGGCAGACAGGGTCCCCTTTAACTGGTTATCAAAAGCCAGCCAAAAGCCAGTCTCAGCTATCTTTCTGCTTTTATGCTGGAGAAATGCTTTGGGAGAAACTCAAGGTGTGTCTCTCCTTTTGGTACATAGACAGGGAGGGCTCGGAAAGGTTCTGTAGGCTGCAAGGTGAACAGTTTAAACATTTAACCACCATCTCCCCAGCTCCCTTCACCAAGCAACTGGTAATGTGTGTTAGTGGCTAAAGCCTAAACTTTAGACGAAGGCGACTGGCTGATGTCTGGAGGTACAAGTGGGAAGCACTTCCTCCCTTCACAGCGGGCAAGTCTGGAGCCTATGTAGATCTGTCCAGTACCATGTACATTCTCAGACACAGGAATCAACTTCAGGGAAACTGCAGAAGTTATACAAGAAAATCTCCACTTTCTGCTTACCAGGTTACTCTTGCAGATTAGTGCTGACCACAGAAATGTCCATACTGGTCATAGCTGGCCATCACCAGTTCTGTTGGTGACCAGGAGTTCATGATGATTTGATCTTATTCATGAATAAATTAATCTCTAATTTCTGCGATGTGAATAAAAATTCAAAATAAGGTTCACTAGTATCATATTCTTTAATACCCTCTGTGTTTTAGAATTGCTAAATTAAAAAATGGTTCAAAAGCCTAAGAATGTCAGCAACTTTCCTTTCATACAAATGATGGATAGGAAGTGAGATTTTAAAAATCAAAAGCAATTATACATTGAAAAATATATCATGAAAAAGGACAAAGCTGTTTGGCAAGTGGGTTAAAAGCTCATTCAAAGATTTCCTAACAGAAACAGATGTACAACGATAGATAGCCCTAGACAATTTTCTCCTATAATAAATACACACACAGACATAAAAAGCTATTGTAATGAAACTTTCTCCAGACTGATAACGGACACACTCTCCATCTGGGATTGCTCCCCAAATCCCCACACCTCGAAAATCTAATGGCCAAGTCTTCAAACAGTGTGCCCCACTACTCACACACAGACTCTGAGGCCCCTCTTTACAGAGCCCTTTTTGGAGGTGTCTACTGTCACTGACAGGTTCCCCCCCACTCCACACCCACCCCACTGGGAGGCCCTCAAGATTTATAAACTTAGAAAAAATCCCCAGCCACCACCCACAAGCGAGTAGAGGGGTCCACTACATTGCCACTAGATTTTGCTTCCATCACAGCACCAACTACTTGGTTACAATCACAGCTCTAAAAGTCACTTGACAGGAATCCTACAGCCACTTGCTAGCATCTTACATCTTTGGTGTAGGGCAGGCAGAAGGGTCTACATGTGATTGTCCAAAAACATTTCCTAGACAATCTGGCTGAACTGCCGTTTCGAGCACCCCCTTGAAAACAGTAAACAACTCTGGTCAACTATTTCTGAATGTCAGAGGATCGTGGCAAAGCCATGTGATTTTCTGTCACATCATGAACGCCTCACAACACAAACTACACAGAGCACAAAGAAAGGAGGTGAGCAGAGTAAAAGACGATGTCTCTAAGTGCCTCCGAATTAAAACGCCAAACTCCTGAGATATGAGCCTCTCTGTTCTGAGCATGCTCAGTGACTTAAATTTTAATGGGAAGAATAAGCTTTCAGTCAGACTTTCAAAAATCATTGAACAGAGTTCTCAAGTCACCCCTTTGAATTTTCTGTTTTGAACAAGTACCAACTATGAACCTGAAATCAGGAATGAGCATCCTCAGGCTTCTTCTCAGTAAAACCAGGACTTCACATTCCCGCTCAGTACACAAAAGAGCTTATTTTCCAAGGGAAAAATCACCCAGCATCAGCCCAGTAGGATTATTGCACAGCGGGGCCCACAGGACAGTGAGTGCCAAGGGCAAGTCCTCGTATAAAGGCCACAGTAAATACACCTACACACTATGCCCCACTCTGGCTTGACATGGTAAACAAACATGACAAGTCTTGCTTAAAAAAAAAAAAAAAAAAAAAAAAAAAAAAAAAACTCCTGAGGAAAGAAAGGGATGGAAAAACTCTACCAAGGCCACTTGAGGCAGAAGCTGCAGTGACTATTCCATCGCCATGAAGGACGCTCGCCAGACAGACTGGCTGTTCCAAGCACCCAGATGAGCCCGTGACGAGGCCACTGCGCGTCAGTCTTTCACTGAGATCACAGCTCAAACTAAGCTTTCCAACTTCCTAGAAGGTGAGTTAGAAAGGAAAGAAAACTGCCGGCAAGCAACCCATCAGCTGAGCTTCCGTTCACCCTTAGTCGTGAGGAGCTGAGATGTGAGCACTGAGGTGCTGGCAACCCAAGCTCTAGTAAATCCCAATGGTTTAGGCCATTATTTTTCGCTCACAGTACTTTAACAATACCAAGACATAAGCAAATGAGTTCTCTTCCCATTTTTTAGATCTGGATAGCACCGTGTTTCACACCAAAATCAACCCCCCACAGCCCCCCACCCAGGACTCTCGGCAATCCACACAGCAGCCCAGGGTTTAAGCCCGCCCTCTCGCCCCACTAAAATGTCAAGTCCTAACCACACAAATAAAAAACATACCACTCTAGGAGATAATTCAATTATTCTTCAATTTCCTGTTATAATTGATGAATCATAATACACAGAGCACTGGATAGAATGCCAAATAGCAAACGTTGTGGTCAAGTTTGTAAAGTGATGACGAAGCCAACACTCCAGACGGAGCCTACAGCACAGACCCAGCCCGAGCGGGCTCGTCTGCTCTGCGCGGCAGGGACGGTGGGGTTTCTTATGGCTTCTGTTCTTCAAAGCATTTACTCTCATTCTAAAATGGTATGCTATACACAAAACCATTACTTTTATTCTAGAATACATCATCTCAGTGAGAATAAAAAGCTTTTGTATGCACACATAGCCAAAACATTTAAAAAGGCCCAAATTTTAACAAATAGACAAATTCATCAGACAAGAGATCATAAATTACTTTGGCCGAAAAAATCTTTAAAAAAAATCTGGCTCAACATTCTGCTTGCAGGTTCTACATATACTGTGTATGTGGTGAGTGCTTGTGTGTGTGTGTATATATATTATCATTTTGTTTTTTGAAGGGAATGGAGTACAGTCTAGCCCACTTTTCCATGGTTATGTAGGAACTACAATGTTCTTTGCTAGCAAAACAAGAAGTGCAAGGTCTGCATTTCCACCAACTCGACGTAAAGCTCCGAGAGCTTCCTGCAAGGTAAAGCCTGCCCGGAGGATCCGGTCAACGTCTGCGGCAGGAACAATCAGGGGCGGAAGGATGGCGGGGCTTGCTGGACGGCTGGCAGGTGGTTCCAATTCAACAAGTGGCCCTGCAGCTTCAGGACAGATGTCTTCTCTGGTTGCAGGCCTGCCTGTCACTGGATTCTCTGTGCCCTGACCCGTATCTTTAACCAACATGAAACTGGATGACCAGGACTTGGCTTGCTCAGAAGACTGACTAAGCGCATCCTCTTCACCTGCTATAAGTTTGGGTGAAATTTCTACACCTAAAGTGTAGTGTAACTGATTAGACATTCTGGCTGAGGTGAGGGTGACGGTACTGCTCTCCGTTAGTGATTCCCTAGACTTGGGGACAGCTTCCTTATCAGTTAATAGGCCATCACCTGGACCCCTGAAGTTACTGTTCTCTACACCTTCTATCCCAGCACCAGTTGAAGCATCTGTTAACTTTTCTGCCTTCACTGAAAAGGATATGGCCTGATGGAAAGAGGCCTGTGAACACTGTTCATTTGGGGTAACTGTAAGGTGCTCATCTGGGGTCCGTCTTTCAGAAAGGTTCTGAACACCTGCTTGGCCCTCCTCTACTGTTTCTGATGAACATATCACGTCTTTGGATGTACCTTCTGCTGCTGGTTTACTACTCGTGACCAAAAGTTCATGAAGTTCCTTCAAGGCGGCCGTTACAGATGAGCAGGGTTCGTCTGCAGACTCGGCAGGGGACGGACTATTGCCACCCAGACTTATAGAAGGAGAGCAATTCCCACACTCTTTATTTGCTCCAGACATTTCAGCATTATTTTGTGGGAGCTGTAAATCCTGAGTGGAAATAGAATTACTTAAAATTTCAGATGAAGAGGTACTTTTTGCTGTTTCTACTTCCATCAGGGGATTATCTAAGGTGAGGGTAGCTGCGCCAGTGTTCTGGACACTGGCCTTCTGACCGCCTGCTGAATTGAGCACAGCAGCAAGGGGCTGTTCAGCCGCGTCGACATCCATAAAAGTTTCTGAATTTGAGCATCCAAAGCGTAGTACATTTTTCTCCGTACCCAGAAGCTCCACATTCTGCGGTAGCCTGTCTCCTGTCACTGTGGCTTCCAAATCAGTATTTTTTGGTGGATTCTGTTGGTTTTCTCCGGGAACATCAAGGTCCTCTGTGCCATAAGGGTGTTCATGATCACGTGGCACATTCTGTTGTTCAATCTCATGCTGGTCACTCCCTGGTTCTTCACTCTGCTGCAGGCTGTTCACTTGACTCAGGCTCTGATATTCTGGAAGCCAACCCGTGTCACCTTGAAACTTCTGTGTTTTTTTCACCTTAGTAGTTGTGACAGGTAAACTAGCTTCCTGGCTTGTGTGGAGACGAGACCTGAGGGCCTGGGTGCTTCTTTCAGCAGGACACACCTCCTGATTATCTGCAACAATGGCTTCTTCGGATGAGTTCCACAAAGGCGTAGCTGGACTCTGGTACTCGGCAGTGCTGTCTCCTGAGAATACACAGTCAGAAAGGTCCTGCAGAGAGAGATGTGCTTTCTTTTCAGTGGTCGTCTGGAATTCAGCCGAAGCCTGCAAAGTCTTCTGAGCTTTCGGTTCGAGGCTGTCTGGGTCACTGGGCGTGGTAGGGCAGACTGAAGCAGAGACAGAGTGAGCAAGACTCGCAGGATCATCAAACTCAGGACTCCGTCCTGAAGGATGGGCTGGATAGTTCAATCCAGCTGAAGTTGGTAATGATGACATTCCCAGTGAGGTAGTTTCTTTACCGCTTTTCTCTAAACGGAACAAAAGGGAAAGAAAAAACAAACTAATCACCATGTTGCCAAGGTGACTAAATCATCACAGGACACATATCTAAACAGGTAGCACAAAATCAGGTCCTTAAAGGCAAGTCTTATAGTCACAGCCTATGCAAGAGCCACTCTCACTGTGGCAGACAATTTAACGTCACAGCACCAGAAAAAGCAGTAGCAGGTTCTTAATAAGACAGGTGTATTATAATTCAGTACTTTAAGTAACTTAATAAGCACCCACATATTGGCTGGTGGGTGGTCAGGACTGACAGACATTTATGTATCTTTATTTTCACTGAAATCAGTATTCTACAATAGTTTCTCTGTGTGTGTTCTCATCGATATTTGTCCTAAAATTACCTGGGCCATCTGCGAAGCATGCAGATTCTGGGACCCCATCCGGGGGAATAAACCGAAGAATCGGCATTATCAATAAACTCAAGTGATTTTGGGAATCTCTGCAGAAGAGCGATTCTCCTGCCAATGCTCTCAGTGTTTCAAATGTAAATAGCTATTATAAATGAGAAGTCCAGATATATTTGGGACAAGGTGGGACTTATAAAGAAAGAATGTAATGTTTGGGAAGCTCCAGAGAACAGAGAAGCAAACATTATACTTCTACATGAATTTTCTGAATGTGAGCATTGATTGAGAAAACAAGAATAAAGCTAAAGATCGTACAGATTAAACACCAACCACCTTACCAAACAATGCAACTTTTAGAAACTAACTTTATCACACAGTGCATCTAAGAAAGCACATTTAAACACTTTAAAGGAACTGGGTGTGGGGAATGAAGAGTGGAGGGAGATAGTTCATAACAGTTTTCTGACAGGCAATAACAGCTTAAATCTATTGTAATTTACTGTTCACTCACACAAGATGACAGGCTTAAACATTACCATAGTGTAGACATCATGAAGTCATTAAACACTAGTTTTAATTCTCCTTTTGCCACCAATCCAGTTAAAACTGACCTCTATGCAATATAAGACCTTTAATTCAAAAACTGTTAACAAAAATGACTTCACAATAAAATCTACTATTGTTAAGAACAACACCAATGTGTCATGTTGAACATTATTAACATCCAAGGGTGGGGTAGGGTGGGGTGGGGTGTGTGTGTGGGGTGTTTGATACTGACTTAAGAAGCCATAAGGCAGTGTTGCTATGATTCAAATGACTCTAAGCCATTCTAACCAACACAGCTTGATAGCTGGAGAAGATAAAACAACACTTCAAGAAGTTACTGATTTCTTGAGAAACAATCTTACAATTTAGGGATGAACTGGAAAACAGCATTTATCTCAGTGAACACTACACTCATTAGCCAAGGAAGAGTTATTAGTTTTATTTATTAATCCCTACGGCTGACTCTGCAAAAGGTTCAACTCTGAGTTAATGCACAGAAAAGCTGTGCTGTAGTGAAATCCCATGTTAGCAGGGTGGGAGGTCTGACAATGGCCTCTGGCACTAGTCTGCCCGTGAGCACCACTGTCATGAGGTCAAGGTGAACAGGCCTCAGTGTATTTTGTACTGATATGAAAGCTGCACATAGTCCTGCAGAGAGTAGGGGATGACTGGGTCAGTACTATAGGACAGGAGAAGATGAGGAAGATGATGAATATTAAGAATTAAACTATGCCTACTTTCAGCCCATCCTTATAAAGAAAAAGAAGAAATTAAATCCTATGGATCTAATTACAACCAGCCTGCAAATCTCTATGAACTCCCAGGCTGACAGTTTCAAAGACTACCTTTCACCTCTTGACAAATCAGCCAATACACCCAAGCTGAGATTCACCACATTCACATATAGCACAGGGAAACGGTGCTTTCTGTGGAAAATCTGCCGGGCTAGGGAGTGAGAGAAAAGTGAAGCCTCAGCTTGTGTTGTTGGGAAATAAAATGTTGCTGACTTTAGTGTCCCTATACAGGTCACTTGGCCTGAGATTCCAGTTCTTCTACAACAGAATGAAAACCCCTGCCCCTCCAGGCAGTTATATGTACAAATGTGACAAAGAACTTTCAGTTTTTCGAAGAAAGGGAATCATAAAATCCCAAACAGCATAGTTATTTCCAGTAAGAGTGCTGTGATGCTGATATTCTTGATTTGATATCAACAATGGTTAGATGAAGACAGTTTTTACTGGAATTTTTTGCCCTTGAACAGTTTTAATAACACCAAACAATTTTCAGTAGGAAATCACATTTACATATGTATGCTAGCCATACCACATACGAACATATACGCAGGCCAGTTGTAACTAGATGAAACGGAGTGAAATGGTGAATGACAGATGCTAAATACCAAAGCTGCTGTAGACAGACTTTCAGACCGTAGACGATGGACCGATGGAAGGCTTAACGTGTTGTCTATAAATACCTGGTCTGGGGCCCACTCCAGCTGCAGCACACACACACTACATGCATCATGGCTTCTGACGCTCTGTTTGAATTAGGAAACAGACAAGCAAACTTGGGTTAACAACGCAAACCACACGGCATGCAGGGTTATAGTTTCCAGTCCTCTGCCGGCTTTAAAACCAGGCTCCGGTAGTGTCAAAGTTGGGCGTGTCTGTAATTTGGACATCCAACTATTTGTCGGTTGCTTTAATTCTCTTACGTACACGAAGCACTATATCAATTTCAACATTTTCACTGGAGCTTGGAAAAAAATTAATTTTGTACGCCTGCACACAAAATTCATGAGCAAACACACGAGACGGGTGGAACAGTGGACCTGCACACAGAATCGCATGATGCAGGGTCTCACGGCGGCAAGGTGAGCAAACATATGTACCAGTCACGTTCCAAATTTCCTTTCCACTTGAGGTTTATTTTTATAGAAGAAAAAGCAAACCAAACCTGATTATCTATCCTAGTTTAGATTCTTCGTCTTTTAACTAAATTTTAGAAAACACGGCAGCTACGGTTACTAATCCAAATTATTTTTCAGTTGGTAGAAAAGACAAAGTTGCTATGAACTATCCATCCAAGAAACAGCTTCCAGTAAAACTACTTTCCATCTACTATTATGCTTTTAGTTTTATGATATTAGAAAGTTGATGTCTCAAACAAGTAGGACATAATTTGGAGAACTGTTTTACTAACTAAACATGACAAAAATTAACTCAAGCCACACATTGTCAGTAACAAAAGGTCACCTGGGTTAAAAGCCATTTCTTTCTAATCCTTTATAAGTGTCACATCCCCTTCACTATGCCCAAAAAACAACTATGGTTTCTATTTTGACTTCCTTTTCATTACATGGTTAAAAAAAGGTTAACTGTTAGTAAGTCAAAATGCATCACCACCATCAACTAGTGCTTTTAAACAGAAGCACCAGAACTGTGGAGGGAAAACAGCTTTCACAAAATGGTAATACAGCCTCACTGTACAGACAGTATTATGACTAAGCAGACAGTCAAGTAAAAATATGTAAGTCCTTTAAGAAGGTATGTCAGACTCATCAGAGAAGATGGGAAACTTAATTTAGTTTCTGATTGGCTATTTAAAATTCTTCCCTTCCTACAAGATACTCAAGTCACAACCCAAATTGTACTTTGGATAGAAATTTGGGACAGGAGGTGTGGTGGATATGGTGGACACTTCTGGACAAGGGTGACCTAGAAAACACTATTTGCTACTTAAGTGCACGTCAGGCGGCTCAAGGCGTGGCCTCTGGATGCTGTCCAGTGACTCGGCTAAGACCATGCTACTTGCTTTTTTAAAAAAAGGTTTACTTTACTTATGCATATAAGCAAGAGCTAGGGTGTAGGCCAGAGGTGTGTGTGTGGGGGGGCGGGGGGATCACCAGAGACCCCCCAGAGAGTGGGAGCAGAACAGGCAGACTGACGAAATACAATGCTGAGGGGAGCAGCAGGTAGGACCAGCAGGTAGGACAGGAGAGGTTTCAGCAGGTAGGACCAGCAGGTAGGACAGGAGAGGTTTGCTGCGCCATGGGGGTCACTTTCTGGCTAGGATGGAACTTGTGGCTGCTGGCTGTGGACAGCTTCACAGTGCTGAAACTTAACCCCTTGTGGCACCAGGAAGGCCCTTGCACTGCTTAGTTTAAAATTCCTTTTTTTTTGGTAAAGGAGAAAGTTATTCCCTCAACTTAGTAGCTAATACAGTTTTTTTATATCAGAAAATGTGCATGCAATGTGTTAGCCATGATGAATATTTATAGGTCAAAATTTTGAGGTAAAACAATCTTAAAGGTTAGTTCTCGGGGGGAGGGGGGAATCATAAAACAGCTATATACCAGAGACGTTTACAGGGATAGAGGGGGAATGGGATCAAAAATTGGGGGGGTGGGGGGGGGGAGGGAAGAAGTGCACTGGACTATGGTGATGGGAAGCCCACAGGGATTACAACTGAGATGGAAAAAGGCACAAAATGATATAAAAAGAAGCTGTTATTAAAAAGAAAAAGTAAGTTCTCATCAGCTTTGAGGAACATACCCAAAACTACTGTTCTGTAGTAGATAAGAGTAAACTAGTTAAGAAAGTGGAATTTCAGCAAAACTGAAATTCCCTAGATTTTGCCCAAAATATTTGGTTTGGTCTTTAAACAGACTACAATTGAGACTTAGAAAAAAAGTATTAGGTAGTTTCATTTCAAATTTATACTCTACTTTGGCTCGATGATAAACTACTGTGATTTTATTAACAGCACAAGCACTATATATTGATGAGCAGTCAATTATTTTTTCTTATTATTGGTTGTTCTGTCTTTGGTAGTAATACTTTCAGTAGCTTTTAAAAATTTTAGGTCTGCTGAGTCACAACAATACAATCCTTTTCAAAGAAAATGGTCTACGACAAGGAAAAGAAAATTTCAAGGAAATACTGTTGAGTTCAAAAGGAAGTATCTGCTTACTGTTACAAACTTTAGGGAAAAGAAAGACAAGAACTTTTAGAAAATCTACTAAAATGTGCATAAGTAACTAACTCCCCAATCTCCACTGCACACAGCAAAAGACTGCTGTTTCTTGACCTGGTGAGAGACATGGAGTTTGCCCTGACTGAATCTGGAGATGGGAACAGGTGGTAAGAGGACAAGGAACACACCTATGACAGGACAAGGAGGCCAGTGAGCTAGAAAGGACTGAGTCTCTCTGCCGCTTGTGGCTCCCTGGCTCACTTATCAATAAGAAAGGTATTTATTCAAAAGTTGGGGCACCCCCAGTACCTGCATCCTCTACAGATTTTTGAAGGGCTTCTGCTAGTTCTTGATCTGCAATCTCCTCAGGTCGCACCTCCTCTCTCCCGGCCCCGTAGGCCAACCGGGCACATTCTGGCAACTCTCCCTCAGGAAGGAAGGTGGTCTGTGAGCCTGTAGTGCCGATCACCAGGACATTTTTCTTGAGATCGATGGAACACTTAAAAAGAAGAAACAGAACACTAATGATAGCACATAAAATGCAACTGAGAAAAAGAAGGATCCTGAATGTAAAACTATTTGCAAAAAGCAACACTGATAGAGATGGTTCAAAATGAACTACTTACCTAACATATTTAAACTTTAATTTATGAGATACTATTAATTTAGAACTTCTTGAACATTCCAACTTTATAGCAGAAAAATCTCTACAGGATAGAGTTTTCATATAATTTTTGTGTAACATTTGTTCATTTCTGAATTTAAAAGCAACACACTTCCATGGGCTTCTCTGGTGAGGCAGGGGTTAGTCTCAGCTATCAGAATGGAGCAGCCATTGCAGCTCAAGTTCGACCCCCCACCAGGGAGTGACCCACATGGTGCAGCAGCCCTCTCCTGTCCTGTCCGCTGCTCCCCTCAGCGGTGTATTTTAGTGGACCTGCCTGTTCAGATCCCACTCTCTCTGGTGAGTCCACCCCCCACACTCCAGTTCTTCTATGCAAAAAAAAAAAAAAGGGAGTAGAAATGTCAATATCATTGCAAATGAATTTACTTAGATATCCTTCTTGTACTAAGATTTCCATTCCAAGATCTTTTGCACAAATTCCTCCTAAATACTGCTGGACCAGTTTACTAAGCATTTGCCAAAGACAGATTTGCAATATAATCACCATGTTGCAAAGGACCACACCTGCTGGGGCAGTGCCAGGGCCCACACCTGAGAGGCCAGAACACGCTGCACAAAAACGAAGAATAATGAAAACTATAAAGAAAATAATCATCGTGTTGTTCACACTTCCTAAAAACTCATTTGAGTTCTAATTAGAAACTAAAAATTATACCAGGGAACCAAAGTACCATCATAATCTAGAAACAGATGGCAAGATTTTAACAGATTCAGAGAGATTCTAAAAGATCAGATTCTATTTCTACGGATACATGATTTCAAGTCTTGTGTGACAGTATCAACCACACATATTTATTCGCAGGTTTAAAAATCCACACCTCTTAGTTCTCTGGGATGCAGAGCCATGTTGGGGTGCAGAGGAATGACATGGTCATCATCCCCACCACACAGAAAAACCAAACACGAGACAGTGAAGCTCTTAATTACCTGATGCCGCTTCAGCATGTCCAGTCCCAGAAGCATGTCCATGGGCTGCTCCTCAAGAATAGAGAAGGAACACGCCAAGAAATCTCCTTCAATTTGAACCTGAGCTGAAGTACATGAAAAAAAAAAAAAAAAAGGGAAAGGTTATTGATTTCTGACAGGGAAGGCTTGGAAATGTATTTACCATTTTGTGCCTTGCTTCTTGCAATCAATGTCAAGGCAAAAGATGCAAAAAGGTGAGTTCCGAATGGCAACCTGGTGAAAGCAATGCCAGGCCCCACACGTCGATGAAGGCTCCAGCTTACGGCGGTGATCAGACACAGCTACTGCCTGGGATATCTGACTTAAGTGTGTGCTGCCCACATGCTCAGCAGGTGAGGAAAGATGGCATTCAGGATAAAAAAGAGGTACCAGGACCTTCCTGGTGGCACAGGGGTTAACATTCGGCACTGTCAAGCTATCCGCAGCCACTGCAGCAGGAGTTCGATCCCCGGCCAGGGAGGTAACCTACAGGGCACAGCAGACCACTCCTGCCTCTCTGCTGCTCCCCTCAGCAGTTTGTTTCAGTCAATCCACTTGTTCTGCTCCCAACTCTATTTCTGGTGAGTCCCCTCGTTCCCCCTTATCTCTGGCCTTATATGCATAAATAAATGGAATTTTTTAAAAAAGGTTTTCTGAAAGAGAAACAAAATCTGTACATCTTCTTTAACCTCTTTACTTAGGCTCCAAAAGTTAAAGGCTCATCACTGCTACTCATGACAAGTTTCTATTTGCCAAACCGAAGACAACACGAAGGCCTGTGTCTGCTTGTAGACGCCTTTGTCTCCTCCGCCACTACTCCTCCTTATACATATGACTAAAAATGGATTTTATTATAGCGAAATATGTAAAGCATAATACAATTGGCACCCACCATCTATTCACAGCTTAGAAATAGGACACCTGACGCTGCCTGTGCACACTGCTGGCCGCACTCACCTTGGCCTCCTCCAACCCGTCCGCTGCCCGGCTGTTTGTATTAACAGTGCCTGTTGTGTAGTTTTGTGTTACTGAACTACAAGTTTCTTTTATTCAAAAACTGTACATCAGGCTACGTCTCCACAGGTGTCTGTGCTGTCTCTCTTTCCCTCCGAATTGCACTCAGAGGGCTGTGCCATCTAGACCAACATGGCGGAGCTGTCCATCCACTGCCATAGGGATTCCGAGGGAATGATCACTCTGCTGTCACAGGCAGACAGCACATGACTATGCCAGAATCTGTTTCCTGGTGTGCTAAGCCATGGGCTTCTTGAAGATATATTTCAAGAAGTGGAACCAGAGAGTTAGTTCTATGAGGCAGCAGGCTCAGCTTTGCTGGGTGACACTGACTCATTTTCCAGAATGCTTCAGTAGTGTATGAAATTTTTTTAAAAAAGATTCATTTACTGATGCACACAGAACTGGGGTACAGGACAGAGGTGCAGGGGCAGTGAGAAGTTTCACCAGAGACAGAGTAAGGAGCAGAACAGGCAGATTGACAAAGTACACTGCTGAGGGGACCAGTGGACAGGTCAGGAGAGGTCTGCCGCGCCATGTGGGTCACCTCCAGAAAAGGGATCAAACTCATGCTGAAACAGATTTAGCTTCTTAGTGCTGTGCTTTAACCCGCTGCGCCACCAGGGCCAAAAAGCTATCTGTAATCACTGCAGCACGAGTTTGATCACTGGCCAGGGAGGTGACCCACATGGCACAGCAGACCTCTCCTGACCCACCCCACTGCTCCCCTCAGCAGTGTACTTCGTCAATCTGCCTGTTCTGCTCCCCACTCTGTCTCTGGTGAATCCTTTC